ATGCAGGACCTCGCCCACCATGCTGCGGACGTCCTGAGGTTCGGGGCGCAGGCACTGGGGGCCTCGCTGGTGGCCCGCGCTTCGGCTCCCAGCTGCGGATCTTGCTCCCCACAGTTGGCGTGTCCCGCGCCGCCGACCCTCTCCTGCCCATCCTGCGTGTGCGCGGGCGCGGGCGGGCAGGTGGTCGAGCCCTCGTGCGCGGGCATCGTGGCGGCGTACGCTGTGGCCGCCTGCACGGTCGGGCTCGCCGTCGGCGCTGGGGCAGGCGTCCTCGCGGCTCGTCGTGCACTTGCTCCGCCGCTCGAGCCCACGGGTGGTGAGCTGCCCACGGAGGTGATCGACATCGACGCGCTCGCTGCCGAGCAGGTGAGGCTTGCTCGGCGCCGAGCCCCAGCACTTCAGTGATGGCGGGAGGCTTCCACGCTATTCGCTACTGCGTGGGAGGTGTGGCTTTGTGGCACGAGCGCTTAGTGCTCGGGGTCTCGGCGGGGTTCGCGTATGTCGTCACGCCCGACTTCGACGACTACGATGAGCCGATCGTGGTGGGGCCCGACGTGCGGGCCGTGCTGCCGCTGGCTGGACAGGGCGACACGCCTGCTGCGCTAGTCGGCGCCGCAGTGCATCGATTCAGACGCTTGCCGACGGCCGCGGAGCTGTGGGCTGCCGTGGGTCGCTCCGTGGCCGCGGGGTACCCGATGCCAGCGGACCCTCTTCTTCTGGCTCTCGCGGCGGGCAACGCTGCAGGCGCGCCTCCAGGGCCCTTCCCGCTGGCGGACCCAGCAGCTGCGGCCGCCGCCGCGCCTGCGCCGCCTCTCGCCCTACCACCTGCGGATGGTCCTGCTGCTCCCGTCCCGCCGGGGGCCGCCCCTGGAGTCGCGGCGCTGGCCGCCGCTCTGGGACCCGTGCCACCTGGCCCTGCCGCGGCGCCGCCGCTGGCGCCTGTGCCTGGAGCTGCGGCTGGTGGCGCTCTCGCGGTCGATGCTCTTCCCGTTCCTGCTGGCGACTTCAGGGTGCTGCCGATGGCGATCAACCAGCGGGGCGAGCGCGAGCGGAGGTTCGGCGAGACGGTGAACGGCCTCTCAGAGACCGAGGTGGTGGGCTGGCCCATCCAGGGCCCGCGTACTCTTCTCTGGTGCTTGTCCTTTATGTCAACCATGGCGGGGACGCCCACCGCGTGGCATCAGCGGTGGCTCACGGCCATGGCCCTGGCCGACGACGACGAGTACGCCAAGCTCCATGAGACCCTCTGTCGGGTCTTAGACCTCGCCGTGGTCTACGACCAGCTGCAGGTGGCGGGGATGGCGTCCTTCGAGGTCGTCGCACGTCAGCTTCAGCTGCTGGAGGAACGGGTGTACGAGTCTCGCTCGGCGCCCCCGACGGCTGCCGCGCCCAAGGCCAAGTCTGGAGCCAGGAGCGCCGCGACGGCCACCGCCGTCAGCATGGCCGAGACGAGCTACTTCTTGTGCGCGGGGGTCTCCAAGGCCAACTTGTGCATCTCTCCGAAGCTGCTCGAATACATCGCAGATCAGATGAAGGCGGAGGCCGCCATCAGCAAAGAACGACGCAAGGCGCGTGAGGAGCGTGCCTTGCGGGCGCCATGCTATCTGAGAAGTCCAGGCCTGGCTGTGGGGCGCGCCTCAGTTGCGCCAGCCAGGCGCATTGCCCCAGCGCTGCTCATCAAGTTCGGCAGCGTGACGTTTTTCCTCTCCGTCCTATCCCTGTGGAGCGACGATCAGGTATCGCGTCGATGGGTGGTTCAGCCCGCGGGCGGGCCGCCAAGGGTGCTGCCTGGAGAGAGTGGTGCAACGATGCCGTGTCCACCCTCAACGACATGTACCATTGCGACCCTGATGATATGGTTACTCCGCCTCCAGGTCTTCCTCCGCGCGCTCGTAGCGACGCTGAAGAGTATCTTGCTCAACAGTTGCGCGATTTTGAACTACCTCCTGGATATTCCGAATCTCCGATCAGATGCGAGGCAGCCCTGGCAGAGTTGCTCGCGTCGGCGCCTGGATACTCTGGTGAGTCTCGGGTGAGACCCTACGACAAGGAGCTCGTCTCCTGGCCGAAGCACGTGGCCCCCGTTCCCACGGCCGATCTCGTGTCCGACGCCGATCGTTCAACGTTGCCAGGGTGGAGGCAACAAATGCTACGTGATCCCGCGGAGACAGCTACTCTCAGGAAGGACTCGGGCATCGGTTCGCCATCCGTGGATCCTCGCCTTCGGTTTCGCCCTCGGGAGTATGCTGATTTTTTGCTGCGCTTGGATCAGGCTGGCATGCTAGAGTGGGAGGTCGCCGAACGTCAGGCGCCCTACTCCACAGGCTTCTTCTTCGTCGAGAAATCCAATGGGGTCAACCTTCGGCTCGTCTTCGACACGCGGGTTGCCAACATGTCCTTCTCTGCCCCCCCTTCTACGAGATTGCCGACTCCGTCGGCATGGAGTGCGCTCGAGGCTTCGGATGACTTCTACGTGGCGCAGGGTGACATCCAGTGCGCATTCTATCACATGAAGTTGCCGCCCCAGCTGCACAGATATTTCTCTCTGCCAGTGGTCCCGAATCGGTACTTGGGTTTCAAGGCGATCAATGGACTGAAGCTCCCCACGAAGGCCTTCTTACAACCGTTTGTGTCTGTGATGCCGATGGGGTGGTCGTGGGCTCTCCACTTTTGCCAGTCAGCCTTAACCACAGCCATGCGCGACTCGGGGATCGACGATGATGCGATGCTGGTAGACGGCTCAGCACCTCGTCCTCTGCGAGACCATGGCGACATCATCGCAGCTGGCTACGTGGATAACTTCGCCACCGTCTCACTCAGTCCTGAAGTTGCCGCCGCTTCGTGCCAGGCCATTCGAGACGTGCTGGTTGCGAGGGGCTTACCTGTAGAAGAGTTCGCCCCCGCGGCGCAGCGCGTCACCTTCACTGGCCTCGACATCCTGGGTGACGTCGGCGTCATCAGGTGCAAGGTGGACCGGTTGTCTCGGTTGCGCCAGGCCCTACTTGGGCTACTCAGACGTGGCTTCGCATCTCCGCTTGCGTTGTCCGCCGTGGTCGGGCGCTGCACCTGGGGGATGATCACCAACAGGCCCATGCTCTCCATCTTCCACGCAGTCTACCGCTTCATGGGTCAGGACTCGCGTCGGGCTTTGCCGCTGTGGCCGTCAGTCGTCTCTGAGCTCCGTGCCGCGGCTTCCCTCATCCCGTTGTGGTGGGCTGATGTCAGGGCAGAGTGGGCAGCCACCACCTTTTGCAGCGACGCCTCTCCATACGGCATTGGCGTGTGTCGCAAGTTCGTGGAACAAGAGGTCGTTGCTGCCACAGGTCGACTGTCTGAGAAATGGCGCTACCGTTTCTCCGATGCCGTGCACGCCCGCGCCCACGCTCTGGGAGTCGACCCGAACGTCGTGTTGGAAGCTGCCGTGAGCAAAAGAGGCCTCAAAGACTGCGAGCAGTGCCCGAGGCCTCCCGAGGCCCAAAGCAAGCCCTCGCCCACCGCACCATCATCACCTCGAGGGCTCGACGAGATTTCGCTGGACGGCTTCGACGAGGTTCCCGACTCGATCACGGCTTCCGACGGCTGGTCTACGATATATAGCGCACGGCATTCGAGGTTCGGTTTGGACATCATGCGATACGAGGCGGAGGCTCTCGGATTTGCGATGCGACACTCGTCTCGGTCTGGACGGCTTCGACATCATCGCATCCTGTTCACCGTCGACAATTTGGCTCTAGCCCTTGCTGCTGGCAAGGGACGTTCTGGTGCCCGAGGGCTTCGCGATCCACTACGACGCCTCTGTGCTCTGTCCGCAGCTTCGGCATTCGCCACGCTGTGCGATGGATCCCTAGCGAGAGCAATGCCGCAGACTCGCCGTCGAGGACAGGTTTCTTTGTCGGGCCGACCTTCGAGGAGCACCAAGCGGCTGCACCCCGAGTTTCGGCGCCAGCGAGCCACGACCGTGACGGAGCAGAGGACCAAGACGCATCCAGGACCACAACGGCTCGGGCGGGGTGCGCTCTCGGTCCTCGAGTCAGCTGCCGTGTCGGACACAACCATGGCCAACTACTGGGGCGCCGCCAAGAAGTTCGAGGTGTGGTGCCGCTGGACGTCCCAGACCTTCACCACGGCGGCGGAGGTCGATGTCATCCTAGTTACCTACTTCGTGAACCTCTTTCTGGACGGCTTCGACAGTGCTACGGGCCGAGTCCTGCTCGCCTCCTTGAAGCACTACCTGCCTTCGATCCTGGTGGGCAGGACGCCGTGCCCGCGTGCAGCTCGCGCCTTGACAGGCTGGCGGAAGCTCGTGCCCCCGCAGATGCGACTACCCCTTCCACGGGCGGCGATGGCCTCCATCGTGGGCGTCCTCATCTCGTGGAAGCTCTTCGGCATGGCAGTGTTCGTCAGGCTGATGTTCGACACCTACCTGAGGCCCAGCGAGGCCTATCGGCTAACAGCGGGCAGCGTTATTCGACCAAGACCCGATGCCGCCCGCGGGTACGGACATTGGGCCCTGATCGTCAACGACGCCTGCCTCGATCGTCCTGGGAAGACAGGGGAGATGGACGAGAGCGTGATCGTCGACAACCCGACGCTCTGGCCCCTTCTCGACGCGCTGGTGCTGGGCAAGAAGACGAGCGACGGCCTCTGGACCTTCGCCCCCGACGAGGTGCGGAGCATGTTCCGTCGTGCTGCCGCGGCGCTCGGGTTGGAAGCCGAGTTGACGCTCTACTCCCTTCGGCATGGGGGTGCGTCCGACGACCTCCTGTCTCTCCGACGCACCAGGAAGGAGGTCAAGGACCGCGGCCGATGGAGGACGGACCAGAGCCTCCTCCGCTATGCCAAGAGGGCTCGTATGCAGCAGCGGATCGCCTCCCTAGGCCAGAACCTGATCGACTTCGGGCACGCGGTCGACTCGCAGATGAACGATCTCATTCTGCTGACCACCTCCTCAGGCGTCTTCCCGCTGCAAGTGCCGCTTGCCGTGACGCTGACACCGCCAGCGGTCAGGCCTCCGCCCCCGCGAGTGGCAGCGCGGTGGGCCTTCGCCTGACGAGGATTTGGCGTGCAGCCAGGCGTGCTGCGACGCGGTCCAGGTACTCGCCCGCCCTAGTAATTGGCGGCGACGGCGGCGCGGCTCGCGCTCTGCAGCGCCTCGGCTTTGGCGTGCTGCACTTGAAAGTGAGACGCCATGTTACTGATGACATCACAGATCCTTTAGTGATGAAGCGCGTGCTCGGATGGATTCGTGCAGGCTGTATCTCGTGCGTGTGGGTGGAGCCCGACACGACTACGTGGCTCCCTCAGAAGCCCGCTGTCCGTAGCAAAGCTCGAGCCAACGGCCTGCCGAGTCTGTCCAGTGCCCAGCTTCGATCAGTTGCCATTGCGAATCTGTTTCTCAGTCATTTTGTGCGCCTTCTGTCAGTGTGTAGCGACAATAAGGTTCCAGCCGCGCTGTGTCATCCAGATGCGTCTTTCATCTGGGATGTCCCTTCTTGCAAAGCTATAGTTAGCCAATGTTCGTCTGCTGCCGTCTTCGATGCATGTATGTTCGCTGGCCGTATAAAGAGAAGATTTCGATTAGTGAGCTGGCATGTACAAGACATGAGTTCTCTTTCTGCTATCTGTTCGCCGGCCGACTCGCGTTGCTGCCGATCTGGGAAACGGCATCTTGGCGAGCTCGGCATCCCATCTTTAGATCGGCAGGTACGCAGCAAAGCGCTGCGGCTCCCCGCTAATGTTCTAAGATGCGCCTGCGACAGGATGGCTCTCAGTGTTGATTCGCTTCGCTACATTGCTCGGCAGATCAGAGCTGTGTGAATTCAGTTAATGCGGCTTTCAAGCCAGTGGGATGGGCTAGCCTAGGTACCTGGTGCATCGCGACAGCATGCGTCCGCTGTCCTCGCCTGTTGCCGAGTCCTTTGCACAAAAAGATAGCCCCTGGCCTCCAGAGTTGCCCACATATTGCTGCCCGCGGCTTTTTGTGGCTCTCTTTCGGGCCGCGCTTCCATTCTCAAGCTTCTCCCGCCCGCCCTATTTCCCGCTCTAGAATGTTGTACCAGGTGCATCGCGACAGCATGCGTCCGCTGTCCTCGCCTGTTGCCGAGTCCTTTGCACAAAAAGATAGCCCCTGGCCTCCAGAGTTGCCCACACTATCATCATCATCACCACCACCATCGTCATCATCATCATCACCATCCATGATCATCATCACCGTCGTCATCAGCATCAGCATCAGCACCAGCATCAGCACCAGCATCATCACCATCTTCATCACCACCATCATCAGCAGCATCATCATCATTATTATGATTATTAGTAGTAGTATTGTTATTGTTGTTAGCATTCTTATTATGAATATCATAATAATAATACTTCGTATTAGTAGTATTGCTACTACTACTACTACTACTACTACTACTGCCACTGCTACTGCTACTACTACTACTACTACTACTACTACTACTACTACGACGACGACGACGACGACGACGACGACGACGACGACGACGACGACGACGACGACGACGACGACGACGACGACGACGACGACGACGACGACGACGACGACGACGACGACGACGACGACGACGACGACGACGACGACGACGACGACGACGACGACGACGACGACGACGACGACGACGACGACGACGACGACGACGACGACGACTACTGCTGCTGCTGCTGCTGCTGCTACTACTACTACTACTACTAACTACTACTACTACTACTACTACTACTACTACTACTACTACTAACTACTACTACTACTACTACTACTACTACTACTACTACTACTACTACTACTACTACTACTACTACTACTACTACTACTACTACTACTACTACTACTAGATAACTAGCATTATTATTATGATGATGCTCATTCTTCTTAACCTTATAGTCATTCACCCTCCTTTCGGCACACCTCTCACACGCTTCGTGGCCTCATAGGGAGCTCCACCCAGGGTCCCAGCGGCGCAGCCCGCATGTGGGCGACACCTCCCTTTCGGCACACCGCTCACATGTTTCGGGCCCCCCCCCAGGGATCTCCGCCTAAGGTCCCAGTAGCGCAGCCCGCATGTGGGCGCCACCCCCGTTTCGGCACACATCACTACACGTTTCGTGGCCCCACAGGGAGCTCCAGCTAAGGCCACAGTGGCACAGCCCGCATGTGGGCGACACCCCGTTTTGGCACACCGCTCACACGTTTCGTGGTCCCCCCAGGGAGCTCCACCTACGGTCCCAGTGGCGCAGCCCGCGTGTGGGGGACACCCCCGTTTCGGCACACCTCTCCACCGTGGCCCCACAGGGAGCTCCGCCTAAGGTCCCAGTGGCGCAACCCGTATGTGAGCGTCACCGCCGATTCGGCACACCTCTCCACACGTTTCGTGGCCCCGTATGGGGGCTCTGCATAAGGTCCCAGTGGCGCCGCCCGCATGTGGGTGACACCCCTGCTTCGTCACACCGTTCACACGTTTCGTGGCCCCACATGGAGCTCCGCCTAAGGCACAAGTGGCGCAGCCCGCATGTGGGCGACACCCCCGTTTCGGCACACCGCTCCTGCGTTCCGTGGTCCCTCAGGGAGCTTCGCCTACGGTCCCAGGGGCGCAGCCCGCATGTGGGCGACACCCCCGTTTCGGTACACCTCACCACACGTTTCATGGCCCCACAGGGAGCTCCAGCGAAGGCTCCAGCGACACAGCTCGCATGCGGGCGTTTCCCCATCGGGAGTTCCACCTCAGGCGGTACTCACAACTGCGGTACTGACAACTGCATATGGTCGCCAGGGAACTTTGCCGGGGCCTCCCAGGAGGCCCTGGCAACTACGGCTGGACCCGCCTCGGGATTCTGGTCAGAAAGCGCTCCACGACCGTTCCCGAGGCGGTTTTGAGGATGAAGTGTTTGACTCAGAAGCCAGACGCAACTCCACAGTGATCGGTATTCGAACTGTGCTGGGCATCAAAACGCTATCTCAGAGCTGTCCTCGGTGGCACGTACCAGTGGGCGGCGCGAGGGGGGTGACATCCTGAGAAGACGGGGGGCTTGTTAGGAGGCATGGGCTTTCTTGGAAGGGCCTGGAGGCCTCTGTTTCTAAACTGCCCCTGCCTTCTCAGAAGTGTCCTGCCTTCTTAGAAGGTCGCTCCCCTCTCGCGCCACCCCCTCGTAAACGACGACAAGTCTGCTTGCTTCAGTCCGACGCTCTTTTCGATTCGGAAGCCAACAATGTGCCCGAGGGTTCTGTAGGGGACGCCCCCCCCCCCCCCAAATGAGCGGTCGGAAACTGCATCCCACGGCGGTGCACCGCTTGGCGCAGGAGGCCATCAACGCCCAGGCGAAATCGAACGGTCCAAGGGAACGCGGCGGCCGACGAGCTGGCTGGCACCGCAGCCGACGAGAGCAGGTTGCCAGAAAACTGTCGTCTCCAGACTTCCCAGCTCGAGCACAAAGCCTGTCTTGTCCGTAAGAGGCTCCTTCGTGCGCATCTCGATTCCACGGTTGCTGATCGTAGATCTCCGCCGCTCATAGAGGTCCGCCTGCCCCCCCCCCTCCCCATCAGCTCTTTCTGCTCTTGCGTCCCAGCACCAGTTGTCGGACGATGGTAGGAGTTGTAACAGATGCAAGGGGGGGCGGTTAAATATGCCGCCGCCGCATTTCGCAATTCCCAGTGTGTAGCCTTGGTCTCTCAGCACAGTTCGGACGTTTCGAGGTTGCCGAGGGGTCATACTATACATATCGGGGGTGGTCTCACACATCCTAGTCACACCGTGCTGTATCATAACGCGTTGCGGCTCTGGTTCTGTTCGGAGCGTGGTTTCGATGGGTCGGCTCAGCTCAGATCTCTGGGCCAGGAGTGGCAGGCCTCCCCCGCACCCGCCAGAACCGAATCTAGCAAACGTATCCTCGAGGGTAAGAGGCCCAAGAGTCAGCCCCGCCCATGCCGAGAAGTCTCGGTGGGCTGGCAGGGTGACATTTTCTTCGCGTCGCGATGGCTCCAGTCCAGTCCAGTCCAGTCCAGTCCCGTCCCGTCCAGTCCAGTCCAGTCCTCCTCCTCTTCCTCCTCCTGCCCCTCCTCCTCCCCCTTCTCTTCCTCCACCTCCTCCTCCCCTCGAGGCGCCCTGCCACCCGTCGCAGGCAGCTGGCACGGCTCAGCTCCGCAGCGCGTGCTGCGCTCGCGGGAGGAGGACCTCGCCGCGCCAGGCCGAGCACCGTTGCTACCTTCTCCTCCTCCGTGTGTCAGAAGCGGAGGAGTCCATCAACGCCAAGGTGAAGCCGGGCAACTTCCAGATACGCTCCGCGATCAAGGTGCCCGGCCGACCTCGAGGAGCAGAGGGCGCACCGCGGGGAGGAAAGCAAGGGGCCCAGGACTCGGCCGCTCGCCGTGAAAGGAGGGACCAAGCTTTCTTTTGTTTCGTTTCATGCTGTTTGTTCGATTCTTATCCCCAGGGAGCCGTCCTCGAACCTCGGGGGGCATCACAGAACGGCCCTTCAGCGAGAGGTCGAAGGTTGCAGGGCACTCACCGCGAGAGAGAGAGAGAGAGAGATGACGCCCGAGGTCTTGGGGCTGGGGGCGCCGCGTGGCAGCTCTTCTCCAGTTTCTTGTCCTACTGATGCTGCTGCTGCTGCTGCCGCTGCGCCCTATCCCGCTCCATTGGCCATGAGTCAAAGAGGTCCTGAGGGAAACGGGTCCAAGACCTCAGAGCTTTCCCCCCCAGGACCAGCCTTTCGTCCTGGGTCGTTTTGTGACAGCCTGCTGGGGCCCGTGGAGGGTCCCACGGGTTCAAGGCGGCGAATATTTTCCAGGACCTCTTCCCTCTAATGCATCCCTTTTCCCTTTCTATGCCGGGATGGAGGGGGACACGGGATGAATTCGCATGCCGAACCAAAAGGCCGCATCCAGCCCCGAAGGCCTCGCCCCGGCTGCCCCATTTTGCCCTCCATTTCTGGTGGGGGAGCGTTCCGGAACACCGACGAAACAGAGCGAAACCAGCACAGCCCCAAAGCCGAAATGTGGGACCTCGTGCTGGGGTGGGGGTGGCCTGCTGCTTCTCCCCTGCTGCTGCTGCTGCTGCTGCTGCTGCTGCTGCTCCTGCGCCTCCTCGCGCCTCGCGCGGGCGCGCCTTGACAGGCCGAGCGCCGTGCTCCTCCGAGCCTGCTCGGGGCCCCTTCGGGCCTGCGCCGTGCCGCGCCGCTGTCTGGCTCGAGTGGTGCGCGTTGTTCATGTCTAATTCTGCGAGAGTTCTTTGATTTTTTGGGGGCCAGGATCCCCTTCAGTCCTCATCGTTCTGTCCTGGGCCTCTTCCTGGCCACTGGGGGGCCAGGAACGATCAGAAACGAGCACACTTAGAAATGAGCACGATTAGATATGAACGACGTGTACGCATCGACCCGCAATCGCCGATTGATCGCCAGCAGGGGCCAGATGTCGGGGGCCTTCCCAAAGGTGCGGTGACCACACTGCGTGGTGAGTCGGTGGGGATTTGGGTCCGCCGCACGGTCGCGGACCCGGGTCGTTCTTCGAGCACGTGTCGGGCGGCCGGGGCCTCGGCGGCCCCAGGCCGTGCAGAGGCGGACCGTGCGGTGAGGTTTTCGGGGACTCCAAGATCACCGCACGGTCTGCCATCACCGCACGGTCGCCCGGGCCATAATTGTCGCATGTGGCTCCTCTTGTTGGCGGCTGCCTTTTCCCGGGGGGGCAGCATTTGTTCGTCCTGGCTGGCGCTCTCAACAGGCAGCGGGCGCGTCGTGGCAGCCTGTGGAGCTTCGCGGCGGTTCTCCATCTCCTCCCTAAAAAAAAACATCCCACCGCCTCGGGATCTCCAGAAACAGCCCACCCGGCCCAGGAGCGTGCGGCCCCGCGATCGGGAGCCCGCCGCCGACCCTGGCATCGGCGATGCGTCGCCGATTCGAGGTCGATGCTCCTCCCCCTGAGCTGATGATCCCCCCTATCGCTCCCTCCCGTGGAGGCTCTCCTTCCCTGGCAGCGCTTCCCGGCCTCCGACCTCGTGGCTCTCCACCCGGCGCCGACGTCTCTTCAGAGCTTCCTGCCCCTGGGGGCCCCTTTCGCGCACCGAGGCCGTCAACCACCTTCTTGGTCGTGGCGCCGGCAGTCGCGCGGCGCGTCCGAGGCCTGAAGTGGGTCGCGCTGAGCCGATTTTCCATCGAGGCTGTCAAGCACGGTCGCAATAAGAAGCTGGCCTCGGGGAGCGGATCGAGGGCTCCGCGGGACACACCCTGGAAAACAAATACCACGGCGGAGGTCGGGGTGTCGTTGAGCAGGCTAGGGGCTGTAGGGCTTTTCTCCCCCGATGGACCGCTCCCTGGGGGCTCACGATGCTCCCGCCGCAGCGTGTGCCATCGCGGTGCTTTCCCTCGTGCCCGCTCGAGGACAGTGCACTTCCCCGCCTCCCCCCCCCCTCCCTGTCTCCCCGTTCCCTCGCTCATCACAGCCAGGGCTTTGGAATAAGGACCACTTTGGGCTCAGGAGGATCCTTGGTTATCCGTGCGTTCCCTCGACTTGGGTCTGGGAGCCGCTTCGCAGCCTGGCACCCTGGCCGGCCTTCTACCTCCATCCTCCTCTCCTTCCATCTCCCCTCCCTTTCCCTCCTTCCTCCTGGCCCTCGTCCTGGCCCTCATCCTTTCTCGGGCGCTGTTTGGTGCCCTTGCTCCGGGCGCGTTCGGCCATGTCGGCGCGATGGCGCCGGTGCGACCGTTGCTGCATTTGTGCGCTTTTCGAAGCGATTCCGCGCGGGTCTCAGGGATTATGTGCACTGTGCGTTGGCCGCGCGATTTTTGTTCAAAGGGTGCATGGGCGTCACGATTCGTTCCCTGGCGCCTTGACACATCCTACTCTCCCCTTGCTGCTTCTCCCGCTGCTGCCGTTCCTCTCCTCGCCTCCCCGACAGTTCCTGAATATGCCCGGCAGCACTCTCCCCTCTCCAGGGGCTTTTCTGCGCATCGGATTTTGGCACTCCATATGTTGTTTTCGATTTGCGTTTGTGTCTCTCCCAAATCGGTCGAGTCCTTCCTCGTCGTTGTTGCCCCCCCTCCTTTCCTCTCCCCCGCCTTCCCCTGGACCTCCCGCTCCTCCCGCTCCTCCCGCTTCTCCTGCTCCTGCTCCTGCTGCTGGTGTTCTTCCTCCTCCTCAACCTCCTTCTTCCTTATCGTTATCAACCTCCTGCTCACCCTACTGCTCATCCGCCACCTCCAGTGTGCACAGCTCCCCTGTCTGCTTGCGCATGACAAAGTGAGGTAAGTTTTGGGGCTCCCATCGCGGATAGAGAATACATCATTGCAACGGGAAGGGAGTGGTTGGATGGGTATTAGGTCATCTATTTCGCGAGCACACCTAGCTTGCCGTTCTCGTCCTCCTCCTGTTTCCCGTCTTTCTCCCCACGCTGTTTCTGCCGTTTCTCTGTGTACCCTTCGCCCTCCTGCCCCCCACTCTCTTTCCCTTTCTTTCCCTCTGGCATCTCTCCGCGGACCTCCGAGTTCCGAGT